CGTACGATACCGTCGGCAAGCCCGTGAACTGCTGCTTCAGGAACGGGTTGTTCCCCGTCACATCGGCCGTCATCCTGTTCAAGCCAGCACCTGCACTGTTGACAAACGTTCCAGGGGCAGTATGTTGCGCCGGAATACGGAGATTACCCGTGTTGCCAAATGTGTCCATGCCGTCTCCGCTGCCGAGCAGGGCGTTGAGCTTCTGCTCGTGTTCGCTGAGTTCTCGCTGGGGCTGCTGTGGTTGCTGCTGGAACTGGGGTTGTTGCTGCTGGGGCTGCTGCTGTTGCTGGGACTGAGATCCAAAGGTATTGAATGGCGAATTAGAGGAGGTAACGTTGATTTGGGGGAAGGTTGATAGCGTCTTTTGCTCGGGGAGGCTGCTCATTGCCGGCATCGATGGCGCCTTGTATGGCGACTTCTGCGCGAATGGGTTGTTCGATCCTGTCGGCATCGGCTTGATGGCTGACGATTGCTGGTTGTTGTTGCTGGCCCAAGGGTTGTTGCTACCGGGCGACAGCGTCGACGAGGAGTTGTCAAACTGGGGCTGCTGTTGCTGTTGCTGCTGGTTCGCATATGGGTTGTAGCCCGTTGCCTGGGGCATGAATCCTTGGGGCTGCTGCTGTTGACCGTAAGGATCGTAAATACCAGTAGGCTGGGGTTGGAAGCCGTTCTGGTACCCCGTCTGCTGCTGTTGGTACCCCATTGGTTGCTGCCCGTACCCGGTGAATGCATTGTTCATGTAAGCAGTTTGTTGAGCCTGGAGCTGGTTCTGATCCAGTGGGTTAGCAAAGAAATCCACCGCGCTGCCTTGTTGATAGCCCTGGTTGAAACCGGTGAACTGAGGCTGGGTCGTCTGCGCTGGCGTATCATCGAACAAGGACGAGGCGTTCGTCTCCTCGAGTTCCCGTCGCCTTCGCTCCTCCTCTTCCTTGCTGAGCTTGATGGCCTTGGCGAGATCATCGTCGTCCACCTCGGCAAGAGCCCTCTCACGTCGCTTCCTGTCCTCCTCCTCCTGGTATTTGCTCGCCTCGATCGCCAACTTGTACTCTGCATCGTCCTCGTCGGCATACTGTGCTCTGACCTGCCTGGGGCGGGGACGCGACGGTTCGGCGTGGTTCTGGGGCATCTCCTCTCCGTACTGCATACGGGACTTCCAGGCTCTTCGGTCAGTGCGCTCCTCGCGTAACCTCTCCTCGTCCACGAGCAGCGCACTAAGATCCTTGGCGGCGATACGGACTGGTGGTAGAATGTCAGCATGATGCAAGCAAGGCCCCGTGAATTGGCGTGTGTTTCCCTACCATTGTTTCCAACGTCCTTGCCGTCCTCGTCGATGTATGTGAACTCGCGCAGCGTCTTGATGACAAAGATGTTCTGCTTGGCCCATGTAACCACCATTTCGGATCCCTCGTGCAGAATGTAGTCCATAACCTTCAACGCCTTGAGGACGTGACGCCAGTTCTTGCCCTTATCGTTCAGTCGCTTGTCGAGCATGTCCATGATCTCGTAGAACTCGGTACTTCTGCAGTTGGCACGACAAGTCATTAATAGGAGCTCGGTGTAGTCGCTGGGGAGGCTTGAGACGGTGAACTTACGTGCCGTACGTCATCTGGGCGATTTGCCCCATCTGGGTTCCCGTAGGGCCCCATGGATCGTTACTTGTCGCTATAATCAATCAAAAGCGTCCATGTCAGTCAAGTCATGTCTCCAAAACGACAGTGGTGATGTGTGACTGTCGGCCAGCAGGCTGGTTTGAAGCGCACAATGCCAAGGACGTCCATGGCATCACCGCAGGGGGTAGAGGGCGCAGTGGGTGTGGGAGAAGGAGAGAAACAGTAACGACAGAGAGAAAGAGAGAGAGATCGGAATGACCCACCATCGCGCACTTTGACCTGGGCGGCCGAGTAACCCTTTGTGACGTTTTTGACGCTGCGAATTACTTTGGACATGATGGGCGGGCTTCTTCTTCTTCTCGGTCGAAGAAGCTACTAAACTGATAGATCGATGTCAAAGGAAAAGAGAAGAATGAGGAGGCTGTGTAGTCGGGGGAGTCTCGCTCGGCGGCGGAACGATTGCGTGTCGCGGGAAGCCGTCGGTCGGTGCTTTACGTCTGATTACGACCAGTCCGCAGTGGAGCTATTGCAATTACAGACGGGCAGGGAAGGTCGCTTCAGATGCTGGATGGATGGATGGCTGGATGCCGGATACGTAGTGCGATGGTTGGCGATCGGTCTACTACGCCGCTCTCACAAGGTACTACGGTAGACCGTGGTTCAAATGATATTCGCTCGACTTTTCGTGTGTGTATCGTTCCAGAAGCTTTGCCTTGGTCGTGCCGGTGTGGTCTGGAGCGCGTAGGTTCGAGGTCCTGTTCTGTTCTAAACTCTGGGGTAAATTGGTCGTCTGGGGATCCTCGTCGGCAACAGGATAGCGGCGCCGGGGAGTGTCAAATGCGAATGGATCTGTGAATGACTGCGGCGTGTGGTGTTCGTCTCTCGTCGAGTCCCGGGTGACGTATAGAGAGATTGTTGTCCGGGTGGAGGAGGGAGGAATTGGATGTTGGAGATTAAGTTGGGAAGATTGGCGTGTGAAAGTAGGAGGCGTCAATGGGAGCAGGTGATTAGGTGATGTTGGGAGGAACAGGAACAGGAAGAGGAAGAAAAGAGAGGGGCCGAGCTCCAGCAGTTGGCCACAACTGGTTCAAGTTACAATGTGACAATGACTGCGACGCGCAAGCAAGTTCACGGAAGTCCAATGCGCAATTCGGTTAGAAACCTCTTACTAACCACCGCATTTTTGATCAGAACATAAAAATATCAGAGCTTGTTTTCGAGATGTACATCTTTGGGTAGAAATCCCTCTTTCCAGGCCTTGAAATTACGCAGCTCATTCAGTCGGGTCCTAACAGGGCACTAACAATTCCTTGATGTTCTCCTCATCTTCAAGATTACCCGCCTGTTACCTGCTAGTGCTAGACCCCTTTCGGCAGCTTATAACCTAGCCGATCATTGTCAGGTCAGGGTCAGGTATCTGAAGTCACAAATATCCGAACCCAACCCACTGTTGTCAAAGTATTTAAAATTCCCCTTTGCGTACCTTACGTCCGTCGTCGAAGAGTATTCCTATAAGAGATACCGAAACGTTTTCTTACTTGTCATGTCATGAATCCATCTGATGCCCTGCGCCATCCTGGGCAAAGACCTGCGCTGCTGCGGTGACGAAAGGCCGTGGCTTGGCACGATCCCCCGATTCCACCCAAGTGGAAAGGCCCGAACTCATTCATGTCACTGCCCATCGGCATCCCCCTTTCCCGGGACCAAGCAGTTCTCAAGAAATGTCAAACAAACGGCTCCCTCTTTTCGTTTCGACCAGTCAAACATTCTTCCTCTTCCTTAGGTCATCCGGAATTTACTCCATAATATGTGCCTGACTGACGAAACGGGGGCCATGAGCTCAGCTGCTCAGGTCTATGCAGTGGATTTCTGAAAGCTCTAAACTCTTAGTCTGTACCTCCTTCCTGGATTTCTATGGAACCTTGCTGTCCTGCAGACGAGGCCCTTGAGAGTCCCAGTAAAATGACGTAAACATTCACGACTCGCCCTGAGAAGCAAAGCCCTTTTGCGACGACATATAGTACGGGACAGGTGACGAACGGCGAGAAATGATTCGCGGATGGAAACCAAAGCAAGTCGGAAGGGAGCAGAAATGGCTGCATATGCATGCGGTGGAACACCCTTGTGGGGAGTTTTCTATTCTTCTAGAAATGGAAGCCATGGAAGGGAAATGCGCTTGAAGCTATCACGGCACAGATTCTCTGGGAACATCACTTGCGATCAAGGCATACAACAGTGATTAAGTACTGAGCATCACATTAACTTATTGATGCTACATACGTTCACAAGAACAAAGATGCCTCTCGCTACAAAATGCTATGGACCTGAACCAAAACTGCCAGCCAACCAACCAACCAACGCCATGGCCTAGAATGATCCATTGATGCCCTCCACCCATCAGCGCCCTAATCTGCGATAAAATGGAAAGAAGAATGGTAATAAAGCTTTCAAGCCAGCTTGCTCTCCTCCTTCTTTTAAAAACGTAACAGGTAAATAAATTGGAACAGTAGAGAAGAAAAATCGTGGAAAGCCGAAGAAGATGACAGCAGATAAGAAGAGAGAAAGAGAAGAGGGCATCGAAGAGGAAGAATTGGTCAGGACTTATCACCGCCGCCATCTTTGTGAGTACTGCCGCCATCACAGTGACTGCTGCCGCCGTTGTCGCAACCACCTTCACCACCATCACCATCTTCCTCCTCATCGTGATGATGATGATCATGCCTAAGATACCAGCCGACAGTGCCTTTAACCGGGCCACGCCGATATAGTCTCTCAGGCTTTGTCCTCCAAGACGGTCCCAGCGGCGGTCGATTATGTCGGGTATCGGAGGCACTCACCCGACCACCCCTAGGTCTACTATTGGCTTCCGTCCTTTGCGCAGGCGGCGGCGCTAGATCATAATGGACGTATGGAGCTGAAGCAGGTCGCTTGGCTCCTGTCCCTTGAGGCGACCGCGATCGATCCCTAGTATCATGGGCGCAAGAAACTGAAGCAGATCGCTCTCGAAAAGCCCTGGCCGTTTGGTTCGTTGAAGGCGGCGGCGGTCGATTGTGAAGATTATCCGAAGCAGGACGAAGATGAGGCAAACTGGAGGTATTCTCCGAAAGTCTCTCGTCGAGTGTCGACTTCGAAGACGACGGGTCGGCCTTCTCTTCCCGAGTTCTGTCAACAGCAGATTGTCTGTCGGTTTTTGTCCCCAATGATGGCGGCCCCGATGGTGCTGAAGCAGCAGGACGCTCAGCTAAAGCGGGATAAGGAGACCCCTGAACAAAGTGCACCACTTTTCGTGGTTGTTTTGTTGCCATCCTTGCTCTTCTCTTCCCCCCTTCTCATTGCCTCTCCGCTTCCCCTCATCATCACCTCCGGCTTCCCCGATAACGTTACTGATCCCTAATTGTTGTCATCTTTCATGGTAATATCTGCTTGGTCGTCTCCACCTCCATTAATACTGCTGTTGCGATTATCGGCGCTTCCGGCGTCCTCGCCGTTCCCGTTTCCGTTCACGCCAGAAGAGCTGGCACTACCGTTACGGCTTCCACTCCCACTTCCATTACCAGCGGAGCTAGAACCGGTGGCGATCTCTGCATTAGGCGTGACGTGCACGGTGTCCTTCATCATCCCCTCCTCACCCTCCTTCTTCGGCGTCGATGATGGCCCAAGCGATTTCTGCTTTTCCAACCATCCAGGCGGAAAACCAGGACCACTCTCGGCGTTACCGTAGTCACTCTTCTTTGTACCCTTGGGCCATCTGCCGGGGCCGCGACCGGTGCCGCCCGCTTTACGCTTGCTGCTACTACTGCTACGCGGCTTGGCGGCGGAGGAAACGCGGCGTACACCGCTTGTACGACGAGGGTTTCGTGGCCGGGCGGCGCTGCCGGTGCGAACGGCTGGTGGGCGAGGAACGGTGGTGCGGATGCGGTCGCCGCCGGCTCCGCGTCGGGAAGTGTTGAGTGGTGGGACGACCTCAAAGCGCGTGGGCGGGATGCCCTCGTATTGGGCCATCCAATCGTCCGGGTTCTCCTTGTTCTCGCCGTCCGCGTCCGGTTCGGTCTTAGCTTTCCGGTCGTGGTCGTCGTTGGGGTGGACAGAGCCGTGGACGGAGCCGTTGGGGAAGAGGCCGTTGGTCTTGAGGACGGAACGCGGGGAGATGACTTCGGGCTGGATGATGCCGAGCTCGTCGGGCTCGGTTGACTCGAGAATCGTTGGAGCCAAAGTGTCGATCTCCATCTTCTGGACTTGGGTCGCCAGACCATCCGGTTGAGAAGCATCGCCGTTGAGAACGGTTCCCTCTTCAACCGTCGGCTTGGCCTCCTCGTCCTCCCTTGGGGCGATCGCGTTCAATGCTGGCCCAAGCTCAAAATTTGTTGCATTGCTCCTGCCCATAACGTAGGGAGTCCATGTTAGAGCTTTTGGTTCCAGCTGAACGTAATTCTTCGCCTCCCACTTCGCAACATACTCCTTGCAAAAGGGCAGATCTACGCGGAAGGCATAGATCTGGGTTTGGGGATCGCGAACCAAACATCTCAAGCCCTCCAGTGATGAGATGACGTCGTCCGGCGTGAGACCAGTGTCGTCGGAGATCTTTCTGATGCTCAAGCCTTTCCTCTCCTTGGGATCATCGGAGCAATGCGCAAGGAGGTACTTGCACATCACGAGCCTCCAGTAGTTTCGGTAAGAAACCAGACCCATGTCGGACAGTGGCTTTTCTGGCGAGCCAGTCTTCTGCTCTACTCGTGTGAGGAGGTAGGAGAAGTCGATTAGGAGGTTGCCGTATCCTTTTCGCTGGTGGATAGGCAGTGTAAGAATACAGGACACGTTGTTCTGGCTGCTGGCACGCTTCTCCTTGGAAAAGTAGCCGACAAAATGGTACCCGTACTGGTCATACTCGCAGAGGACGTAGAACAGGAATGGTTCCACGTCGTAGTAGAGGGTCTTGGACCCCAAGAAGAGCTTGGCCAGCAAGCAGAGGTTCTGGCAATAGACCGGATTTTTGCGGCCGTCGACCTCGAAGACGGATATTGAGCCGTGGCGGTAGATCTCGTCGCCTGGTGGGTGTTTGGCGGGGCACTTGAGCTTATGCCTCCACGCCACATAGTCGGAGTTCATGTACTTCAAACAAAACTCGCAGATATACAGGACCCGGTTCCTGCTGTATTCCTCGGGATATGGTGCCGCATACCATGTGTCGATCTCCCAGCCGCCGAACTCGATGCACTCGATTTGACTGGCTGGACCGGCGGTCTTCTTAGACCTCTTGACTGGTGCTTCGACCTCTGATTGCATCTTCAGTAGTCGTTGTCGCCATTCCTCCTCGGCCATTTGCTTCGCTTCGTCAAATCGCCGACGATCCTCAGGCTGGGGTAGTGTCTTGGACGTATCCGCCTCGGCGTCAGTGAGGATGCCGCCGTAGGGTTTTCCTTTGAGCTCATCTGTCTCCTTGTCGTAGAAAGAATAAAATGGTTGGGTGTAGCTTGTGCTAGCAAACGGTGCCGTGGAAGGTTCCATTGCATCTGTTGCTGCGGCCGTCCTGCGCGACCGGCCTGACCTTCCTGATGTCTTACGCCCAGAACGTCCCCAACGGCCGGATCGACCTGATCGAGCAGACCGACTTGATCGCTTGCTGTTCCCCTTGGGCGGTTGCGATGTTATCTCCTGCAGTTTTGTGGGGTCTAGATGCATGCGCAGCAAGATGCTGCTTCGTGTCTTCTTGACGATGCTGACCAATGACGGGGCCGTGGGATTGGATATCTTAATTCGCAGTGACCGGGCCGATGTCGGCCTAGCTTGTTCGTCCTGCTGGCCGGCTGTGCTGTCGTTGGCTTCTTCTTCGGTGCCCACGGTGTTCCGGCGTCGCTTCCTAAGGCTTATTACGTGCTCGGTGGGTTCTACTGAAGACGTCTTACGTTTCCTAAGTACGCGAGACCCATCCATAGGATCTTCATCCAGCACCAGTTGGTTGAAGACGGAGTGCGAATCTGGGTTTGTGTTTTTTTGGGGAGGCAGAAGGTCCCGGGCCAGTTTTGGTGCTGAGGCCCGGCGTGTGGTGGGGTGGCTAGTGGTTTCCGTCCCATTCACTTGTGTCGGCTCGTGATTCTCCCCCGCGGCGGTTTGTGACCCTTCACTGGCGCAGTTTGGGCATTTCCAGGTATCGGGTGCTAGTTTTGTCAGTTAGTGGATTTTCCACGTGGATGGAATTCGGGAGGACTCCGTTCGTACCTTGATCGCCGGCCAACGCATTGGCTTCCCTTGCACACTGCTGGTGGGCTACTAGTCGTCAGCTTCTAGCTCTTGCCCTTGCCAGTTTTGTAACCCATCCCGTAATTCCACCAGGACAAGATGTACTAACCGTTTTCCCCACACCCAGAACATGCAAGATACTCTTCGAATTCCTCTGCCGGGTCGTGGTCTTCGTCTTGTTTACAGAACATGCAAAGCCCACTATCCTCCTTTTCGGAACCCTCATCGTCCTCGTCCTCGTCTCCAGCAGGTTCGTGCTCAGTCGCATCTTGCCAGTGTGTCTCGTCGTCCGATTCCGCATCACTGACGCTCGCCGAACTTGCTGACGAATGGTTATCTTCGTCTTCACTTTCGCTATCGCTATGATCAGTTTCACCCGGCTTTATTTTGACGGCCCCCACACCCTCGTCGTCGTCGTCGTCGTCGTCGTCTCCATCATCGTCATGGTCTTCCTCCACGCTAGGCAGGTGATGTTGCGATGTATGTTCCTCGGAATGGACAGAATCGCCGTCGTCTCCTTCGGCATCCTCATCGAACCCCTCGTGGTCTTCGTCGTCGTGTTCCTCCTCTTCGTCATGTTCATCACCCGAGTCTTCGTGGTCGTCGTGGTCATGACCGTCGTGGCTGCCTTCGTTCGAGTGTTCGTCGGCGTCGTCGCCTTCGCCCATTTCCTCGTCGTGGGGGTCGTTCTCTTCTTGCGCATCGTGCATCTCCTGGTCTTCGTCGGCCTCGCTGGGCTCGGTTCGTGCGTTGATCTGGGAGATCTCGGATGTGATAGTGACTGCGTTGACCATTGCGACGTCCCCGTCAGCGGTACTGGCCTCAGCCTGGTGTTCCGACATCATGACGCTCTGTTGCAGCTCCTCCGCCCTGAGTTGTTCGTCGGCCATTGCAGGTTTTGTGTTCTGTTCTGTTCTTGTTGGTTGTCCGCTTTGTTCTCAGCACCCAACCTGGCTTCCCGCACGGGCACCCCTTTGGCTAGTCTCGTCAAGCGTAACCCGGCCAGAGGGCGGTCATACCAGCTAGCTGAAAGTTGATGATTCGGGCGTTATCATGCCTGGAGGTGAATGTGTAGTGTAAGGCGACCGTAGTTTATATATCGGCGACAAAATCTTTTTGCGTGGTTGTGGTGCTTGGAGGCCGCAGCTGCAAGTAGCTGGTGCCTACTGGAAGCAGGTGATTGTTTGCGACAGCTCGAAAGGGGGCTGAAAACGCGCTGATCCGGGGACCAAGGCTGTCTGAATCGTGTTGTTCTGCGGTCGCACTAGGTCGATGATGTCAAAAGACGCGTCGCGTAGTGGTTCTTTCGTCGTGGAGGGCCGTTGTACGTGCTGAAAGTGCCAATGTTCTTGTTCGCGGAGCGTTCTCCCTGAGAAGTTGTCCGTCCCTTTGGAGGTCCAGACGCCCATCCAGGTTACGTTAACGGGCCGATGTACGTGCAAGGGTTCGCGTGCTTAGTCATCCGTAGTGCAACCGCCAAGCTTCAAGCTCCTGCGGGTCCAGGCGGGTTGGCGGGGGGGATTACGGCTCCACTGGAAACATGCGACCGAAGTTGGAAAAGGGAAGCTTCCATTTCCTGAGTTCCTTTGGGCGCCTGAGGCATCCGCGGCACGTCTCCGCCAATTCGTTAAGTCGCTCCATCTGCCATCACCAAACTTGGGACCTGTATCCCAGCCAACTGCTGAGCTGCGGATTGTCACGAAAGAGAAGCCACAACATAACCACACCACTGCGCATAGGACTTTAGGTCGGTTCAGAGTGTCCAAAGGCATCGTTTTCACTTGGCTAACCGAATTGATCAGGTCCGGAAACCGCCACGATGCCTGTCCCCTTCGAGGCCCTCATTCCCTATGCCATCATCGTCACGGTAAGCTCCACCGGATCAGTGCGCCCGGAGCGGGGTGGGGAGAATTGGGTCCGCTGACGGAAGTCTAGATGTTCGGCGTCACGGGCGCCGGCCTGTCTGCCATCAAGACCGCCCAGAACGGCGGCAAGAAGGCGAGATGGTCGTTGGATACCTGGGATAGAGTACGTTGACCCTCCGCATTTGTTGATGTCATAGGGGGCATGGGCTAACTATTGAATAGCAAAGTACGAACCACTTATAACTGCGAATTACACGAGTCATGACACACCTTTGTGCACATCCACCCTGACAGCGACTGACAATGGGTGCTTTATAGTGATGGACCGCGACCGCAGACTTACCGGATGGTTACGAGGGCAAACAGATGCCGCAGATGCGCCCTATGGGTTTGAGTACAACAACCCGTGGAGAGTATGTTTCTGTGTCTTCCACCACTTGCTAAATAGATGGACTTACACAAGCACTTTCAGGTTGAGAAACGATTTTCGTGATTGGTCAAACGACGTACAAAACATCAACTTTCAGGGCGGAAAAGCCGAGAGGATTATCGAGAGAACCAGGCTCACCCACGATATCGCGACGACCGCACCGACGACCCTTACCGTTACGTTCCACGATATCGATACGGCACCCCTATTCGGACCATACCAGCCGTGTGCGGAAAAACAGGACGCTTAGATACAGGCTAGGTAGACAGCACTGCCTAATGGTACTTCCACAGAGTATAGAATGCTTTTCAGATCTGAATCTGTGCTCTATTCTTGTTGAGACCCTCCAAGAGCGTGCACGCCTGACAAATCTCCTGACTAGACATGTAACCGCAGCGCTTGCAGTTACCCAATGTCTGTCGTGTTACTGGCTTGGAGTTCTTGTTCATCTTGAGGGGCACTGCGCCATCTGTCTCTGATTCTGCTGGCGTGCCGGCCAAGGAGAGCTTTGAAACATCAACCTCAAGACCTTCAGCAGCCTCGTTCTCTCTCAGCTGCTTCTCCATGACAGCCATCTCATTGCCACCGGCAGCTCCGCTTGAACCGCAGCCGCCAATCCCACCATCATCCTCTGTAGCAGTTGCCGCGGGTGTCTTGGACTTGCCCTTGCAACCACAAGATGAAGCCGACTCTCCTGGTACTAGTCTCGCCATGTCCTCGCCGCTACGGAGAATATCCAAAATGGCGCTCGGTCGTATCCTCTCCAGCTGCTTGATCAGACCTCTTGCGGTGCCACGGAACGCCTCCGGGCTGTAAATGCACTCTGTGCTGAAGTAGTCCAGCTTCTTGTGATACGCATACATGACAATCTCCTTCTCGTAAGCATACTTGAGCGGCTTGCTCCTCTTGACATCAGAACTGGCGTCTCCGGTCACAATGTTCGTACTCCGAGCCAAGCGTCCCATGTCTCCACGAAGTAGGTTCATGAGGATCGTCTCGGCCACATCATCAGCGTTGTGCCCTGTCACCACGTGCTTGATGTCGAGCATCTTGGCTCCACGATCGAGCGCCTGTCGTCGGAAGACGCCGCAGTATGTGCAGTTGCCCTTCTTGCCGATAGTCTGGACAACCTGGTCCATCGTCCATCCGTAGAGCTCGTCGTACCCTACAATCTTTAGCGGCATGTCGTACTGTACGGCATTTCGCTTGACCGTCTCCAGGGAGTCGTCCCGGTAACCCTTGATGCCTTCATCGATACTGAGTAGAACAAGGTCGAGTCCGTAGTTGTAGCGTTCGTTGAGAGTCTTGAGAACTGAAGCGAGCACGGTCGAGTCCTTGCCGCCTGATGCGCCAATGGCTACTCTCTCGCCCGGATAAAATAGCTTGGAAGATACGATGGTGTGATGAACTTCCTCCTCGAATAGTGTGAGAAAGCAGCCCTTGCAGACTCTGGCGTGGTTCTTTGGCCGCTTAATGTTGGCCCGCTCGGTTTTGCAGATGGCGCAAAGTGCTGGAGCCATCTTTGGTGAGTAGAAGGGTGAATGATAACTGCCGAACTGGGATGGGTTATCGTCGAGATATTCAGGTTTCCCAAATTTGTAGATTCTTGTGTTGCTAGGAAAATGGCGTCCTGCAGTACCAAGTGTCCAGATCGAGTTTCACGTTGAGATATGCCGGCTGTGCAGTCATCAAGCAATGTTCATACGAGAAGCGTCAAAAGAAGGCATCAGCGTTTAAGACAGGCCTGGACTTGACCAAAAAATGCGATAAGCGGCCTGTGGTGATAACACACCATGGCGTGGACTCGAAAGGAAGCTTGCTGCAACGCCCCACCCATTCACCAATCCAGCCACAGCTAGACGGCCCGTCAGCCCCCACAGAGTGGACACCAGCCGCAAAATATCCGCCAACCCTAAAAATTCCACCACCACTTTTTCTCCGCGCGTTGGAATTCTCGATTTTGAATCTTTGTCTGTTGCACCTCACGTACACTTAGGAACCTGAGCCAACGCCGATAATCAAAATGGTAAGCACCTAAACGACTACGACTCGATACTCACGACCTCTGCAATCGTCTTTTCGACGCGCGCATGTGGGAGAAACGTTGGGAATGCTCTCGATCTTTTGATTGAAGTTGCATGTTTTCCGCTCGTCGGTCCTTCGGGATCGCGGGTGATGACCTGGCTTGAGTTGGATTCGCGTGCATGGCAGAAATGCTTGCCCGGCCACTCTCTAGAGTTAACGAAGACTGAAGTCAAATGGACCAAAACATTTACTGATGTCTTCTTCTCAATGATAGCCTCAGAAGTCTGGCAAGAAGGCCGCTCCGGCCCCCTTCCCCCAGGGTAAGGCTGGCAGCAAGAAGGCGCCCAAGGTAAGCAAGAACAGCTCCCCCATCCCCTCCGCCTCATCATAGCGACGTGCCTGAGTCTCGGTGTGCTAATGTGCTATGTAGAACCCTCTCATCGAGAAGCGCCCCCGCAACTTCGGCATTGGCCAGGCTATCCAGCCCGCGCGCAACCTCTCGCGCATGGTGAAGTGGCCTGAGTATGTCCGCCTCCAGCGCCAGAAGAAGATCCTCAACATGCGCTTGAAGGTCCCTCCTGCGATCGCCCAGTTCCAGCAGGTTCTCGACAAGAACACCGCTGCCCAGGCCTTCAAGCTCCTCAACAAGTACCGCCCTGAGACCAAGACCGAGAAGAAGGAGCGTCTCCTCCAGGAGGCTACCGCCATCAAGGAGGGCAAGAAGAAGGAGGATGTCTCCAAGAAGCCCTACGTTGTCAAGTACGGTCTCAACCACGTTGTTGGCCTCATTGAGAACAAGAAGGCTTCCCTCGTCCTCATCCCTAACGATGTCGACCCCATCGAGCTCGTTGTCTTCCTTCCCGCTCTCTGCCGCAAGATGGGCATTCCCTATGCCATCATCAAGGGCAAGGCTCGTCTCGGCACTGTCGTCCACAAGAAGGTATGAAACATCCCACATCTGGAAGATGTCTGTACACAGTGAACTAACATGTCTTCTACCAGACCGCTGCCGTCCTCGCTCTCACCGAGGTCCGCACTGAGGACAAGAACGAGCTCGCCAAGCTCGTCTCCGCCATCAAGGAGGGCTACGTCGAGAAGAACGAGCAGGCTCGCCGCCAGTGGGGTGGTGGCATCATGGGCATCAAGTCCCAGATGAAGATTGCCAAGCGCAAGAAGGCTCTCGAGAACGCCATCAAGGTCTAAATTTGACCTAATGGTGTGATCGACTACGGTTGGGACCAGGCGTTTACACTACCGGTTGGCGTATTGGACATACCAAAATCAGATCAGGGTCAAATGAACTGCCTACTTCCGCCGTAGCAGATGTCCCCAAGGTTGCTTTACGACGTTGTGAATAACAAATGATACCCAGTTTCTGCTTTTCTTCCAGTGTGATGAAGTCCTCCATCTCCCTTCCCCCGAGGTCAGTTATCCATGGATTCCGGATCCCATTTCACCCCTTTTCCATGGTGTGAACACTCCCCCATCGTGAACTTGAACGGCATTAGTGTGTACAACATTGGGCTCATATACCTACGCTCATGTGTTGAAGGATATTATCGTGCCAAGATAAACATTTCGCCCTACTATTACCAAACGCCTTTGTCCTCTTTGCTCTCGGGACTTTTGGTGCATGAAAGTAGTGCTACATGCCATCACTTTTAATGATGGTCTTGGATGGTTTTGACAGTTGGGTTCGGTCGCTTCGGACATTGGACATCCGGCCCCCTTGTCTGTCCTTGGCCCAACGACTATGATAATATCATAGAAAATAAAGATCATATTGCTCGGCACTTGAATTCCTTGTCATCGCTCGTCATGGTTCCGTGCCCCTTTGTCGAATGTGTGGTTGTTGTCAACCTTGGACAAGTAAGTCACAGAATCAATGCGAACCGGCGCTAGTGAACGATCGTCAGGGCTGCCCCCCTTGTTGTTGTGACAGATTACCGGGGATCCGGCTGTTGACGGCGAACCAGATCCACTGATGGCATTTGGGGAAGCTTGAAGCTTATCTGCCATTTTGAGGCCAATGGGTGATCCATGATGGATTCGAAGCTATCAGAAAGTTTCTGCGCAAAGCATCTGGGATATAGCCTTGGCTGAAGCATCTCAGAGTTTAGCCCTACGCGGCGGCACATGACCACAAAACAATGCTTTCTTCATCATAATCTTCTGACAGCCGAGACAGCTGTGCTGTTACCACCCACTGACAATCCTCCCTCGCGCCCCCCGTGTCCCTCTGGTTCGGATGTGTGTGTGGATGCATTTGATATGGAACCAGGGCACCCATGATGATTCCAGGAGTTGCGAGAGCAGTTTGTTCTGCTTGCTTGGTTCACCGGCCATCCCCCCACCCGATCTTTCCGGCGCCGGTGCTGTGTGAGAGGGGTTCACAGTGAGTTCACAGTTCGCACCTCAGCCGAGACAGGCGCGGTTCACAGTGGCTGGCTGGGGGGTGCGTGGGTGGTGCCTCCCAAAGTTTGGTTACGGTAGTCCACGCTCTGACCAACCTTGACATCTTGCATCTCAACTCCCTCCCACTCGGCCTTGCACCGTGACAAATGCTGAAGACAGAAAGCGCCTTCCTAGCATTTTGTTGAGCAAACACTTTCTTATCCTGGCCAAGAATCCGGACGAGATCGAGACAAGATCAAACAAGCAGGGGTTGGCTTTCCAGTTCGAAAACATGGGGAAATCTAGAGTTTATCTACAAAAGCCGGCGGGTATCCCCCCTCGAGACGGGCAGCTGCAGTCCTCGACGATATATTGTTCTTGAAGTTCTGTTTTGATCCATTGCCCTCTTTGCCCTTCTCAATCCGATATCAACAACACAATCTCGCGCTCTTCGCATCTTGAGACCACGGCCAAGTTAAAGACGACGAAGACCTCCTGAAAAGCGTATCCACCTGGTAAGTCCCAATCTCTCTCGGCAACTTTCCAAACCACAAAAGTCAAAAAAGTCAACACCCGCCTCCCCAAATACCGTCCAAGTCGGTGACGAACCTATTCTTGGCATGTGGTTGTGGATGTCTATACTTCGGGACCTTACATTCGGCCCCTCCCGACCCATCAGTTCGCGCAAGCCTCAAGTTGAATCAGTGGGGTTCAGCTACGAACCAGTCCACCATCATACGGGGACCTGACGATGCTCGAGGATACTGAGCGTTCCAAGAGATTGCAGCACTCCGTTTCTGGAAGATTGCAAAAGAAGATGGCATCCAGTTTCCAGAAGTCTGGTAGCGGTGTTGGGACTCGGGTTGAAGGAGGGTTGAAGAAGGGGAAAAATCATTCCACCTCGTCCGGCTGACGAACCACACACAAGAGCTCTCACTGGTCAGCTCAACATCAACATGCCCCCTTCAGTCTTCACCACCCATTCATTTCTTATTCCACAAGGACGGAAAATCGCGCGGGACACCACATACCCGTACGATTGGATGTCGTGTTATCGTGGACCAACACATTCGGATCTTCGATTTCCTACCTATACTTACACACATGGGTGGACTGCAGGCGGATCTCGAGCTCCTCAAGTTTATACGCAAAGAGTCCCGGGGTACTAAGCTTACCCACTCACTTCATACCTCTTGATACCCGCTTGATATTATTTATATCACTTCCTCCACTCCTCCCCTTTACGCCGCCGGTCCGCGTTTCACTTCTTATATAACGATCCTATCATTCATCCTCCTCTCTGTCTTCACTCGAGCAACCCTCTTGTCCAAAGTCTCAAGTTCGTCCCCCCCCCCGCTTTCAGCCCCCTGCTGCACCTTCTCGCTTTTGCATAACACAGCTGGCTAACACCAACTAATAGTTTTAGCGTGACGTATTCTTGCCTCGTCCTCTTCAGCAACTTTCGATACCCAAACTCTTGTTTTCATATTTCAAAACATGTCTCCCGAGAACACCTTCCACTATGCCTTGAGCTCCAACAATGCTTGGGCTGGCTACAAGGCCCATCAAAACCCCCACTTCTTCCCCAAGCTGGCTGGCGGCCAGGCTCCCGAGATCCGTAAGTCTTGATTCTATCCCACTTCCCTTGTCCCTCTTCGATCCATTCTAACATGGTCACAACAGTCTGGATCGGTTGCTCTGATTCTCGCTGCCCCGAGACCACAATCTTGGGCATGCAACCCGGTGACGTCTTTGTCCACCGCAACATCGCCAACATTGTCTCCCCCACCGACATCAACACCACTGCCGTGATCGAGTACGCTGTCGCCCACCTCAAGGTCAAGCACATTGTTCTCTGCGGCCACTCGGCCTGCGGCGGCGCCGCGGGCGCTCTCTCGGACGGCCGCATCGGCGGTGTCCTTGACACCTGGCTGCTCCCTCTCAAGACGGTCCGCTACAACCACGCCGAGGAGCTCGACGCCATCACCGACGAGAAGGAGCGTGTCATCCGCATTGCCCAGCTCAACGTCGAGGCGGGAATCAAGGTGCTCATGAACAACCCTACGATCCGGGAAGCCATTGCGGAGCGCGGCCTCGAGGTCCATGGTGTGTTCTTTGATATCGGCTGCGGACGCATCAAGGAGCTCGGGTGCGGCACGGCTCACAAGTCCTCCTCGACGATCTCAGGTGACCATGTTGTTAGAGGCAAGCATGGTCAGCTTGTGTTTGGACAGGATGGCGAGGCGGAGATTGCTGCTGCGCAGTAGACTAAAGAAACTCAACAATATCGAGGATTAAGAACAAGGTTGACGTTGGTGTTGGTGTTTGCGGGGAAGTTTTGAGCGAGTCCCCGGTCGCCAAGGGGCAACCAAGCAAAGACCAAGAAACGGGTTGAGATGGTCGCTCGGCTTGGCAAGGTCGCGGGATGTCTTGGCAAGTTTGCGCATCGCTCGGGTGTTGAGCGAGCCGAACGGGCAAAGGGCATTGACATGACATGTCCGGGGCCGGGGCCGGCAACGAGATGTTTTGCATTTTTGGGTATCTTGGGTATCTTTGAAGCATGGTTTTTGTTGGTTCGAAGGAATCATGGATGGAGGGGGACTGGTGTTAGAAACACAAGATCCTGACCGTCTGTTTCCCTTTTTTGGTTTACATCGGTATCACGCTTTTTCTACGGAGGAGCATATCATTGCAAGGAGTTTGAGAGTTAGCTATTGGAATACATGATACAACATTTTACCAACATCTTTCTTTTGCCGCGTCTTCAAGCTCTATGACCGTCTCAACTGCCGTCTTGGCCTTGTTGAATTTGTATATCGTAGATATTGGCCAAGACTCCTTGAAAGAGTCCAAGACGGCCTGGTGGTGGTTGTTGACTGCTTGACGGGATGAACTCAGAAAGATGACCAATAGGATATCACGACTTACAAGACCCTGCCGTAAGCCATGATAACTTCCGCGGGTTCCGTTATCAGGAGTTCAGGACCACTGACGGACCGTCAGACAGTGTAGTGCTGGACGGTTCGGAAAGGCGACATGACTCGAAACCTTAAAAGATGCGAGATTGCTAATTACGGAAACAGAGAGACTAGAGGTACCTCTAGAAACAATAGCGGTCAAGCTTTTTGGGATGGATGTTTGTGTGATTTCGATAGTGAAGAAAGAAGGAATTCCAAGACATGCAGACAAACAATTGGAAAGTGCATTTGGTGAGGGTTCCAGCGCTGTGACGGGCTTGCAGTTACTTGTACAGTGGCTTCACCCCCTGGCGCGGGGGCAGGGCAACTGGAACAGACAGTCAGCACTTATCGGTGCTCAAGCGGTGTTATTGGACACTGTCTGACAGTCCGGCAATTCTAACCCTAACCCTGCGACTCTTAGCTACCCCTCACTGACTTCGGGAGAACCCCACCATGCAATCCAATGCAACGGACGACTTTCGACCGAAGCAGCAATTCGATAAACGACAAACGACCATTCCCCTCCGGTTTCCGGATCTGACGTGATACCTTGAAAGATGTAGTGAGAGATAGGTACACTGTTGGAAGGCGCACGTGTCGGAGTGAAACGGCTTCTCTGTTTAGATCTAGCATCTCTTCAGGATATCCTGGGGGCAAACGGCATTGAAAGCCATCCTTGAATTTCTCCAAAACCCACCGGCATGAAGCTGACGACGTCAGGGAACTGCCCGTCTGATGGCAAAAGGTCCACTGTTGGAAACGCAGAAGGGGTTGTTTTTCAAGGGAGATAGCTGAGGTTGGTGAGGGGTTTGGGGATGGGATATTGCAAGATTGGTAAGAAACAGATGTTGTAGATGGCTTTGAGAGTTGCAAACGAGGTTGTTGCTTTGTCCAAAGACTGTACAGAGAAAGAAGTGGACCGTAACGCCGTGAATGTTGTAGAAACCACCACCGAGTTCACTTGCCGTTAACGGACCAAAGAAACAAAGCCGAGGAATGCCTTCCGATCCGGATTGTGGTGAAAAGCAGGTGATACCTATTATGAAGTCTAGACCGTTGATCCGGCACCGGAGGGTCCCAAGCCTGACCCCGACCGTTTGATCGGATGACGGACATACAAACCGATGGAACCCGCCGGATTACTTGCTGGACCCGGCTTGGCGGATCAACACACGTCAATTCAACACATTACCTCATCATCAACTTGGGCATCCCGCTTTGATATCTGATATCCGATATCGCGGGGAAAGAACATCGGGGTCCATCCTTCGTTTCTCCGAATTCCCCACGAAGAAGGGTTACTCATTCGATACATCTCATTTCCATTAGCCACACACACCATGACATTCTCCATCCTCACAGACGACGAAATCAGGTCGCTGTTGGACAACCTGACATTCGACGAGCTCGAGTCATTCCGTGAGAACCTTAGAGATGCTCTCCACGAATACTCAACCGGAGCTCAAGCGCCCGGTCAAGCTCTCATCCACCAGCCCGAGCGAACAGTAGTCCGCAGCGGCGTTACCGGCGCGACAACTTTGTTTATGCCATCATGTAGTCCGGCCGGTCACGGAGTCAAGGGTATGTCTTCGCGTCGCCTCATCACACTTATCATTATCGACATACTAACGCCCACACACAGTCATCACCCTCTCCTCCGCCGAGCAAATAGTCAAGTCCACGCAAGAAGAAGAATCCGGCCAAGACGCCTCTAACCGGCTCATCCGGCCCACGGGCGCCATCACCCTCTTCAGCCCCAACGGCTCCCCCCGCGGAATCATCCACGCCAGCACCGTAACCGCCTTCCGCACCGCCCTGGCCTCGTTGTGCTTAGTCCACAAGCGCGACCACGTCAAGACCCTCACCGTCTTCGGCTGCGGCGAGCAAGCCTACTGGCACGTGCGCCTGACCTTGCTCCTACGGGGTAGCACCATCAAGCACGTCAACGTGATCAACCGGCGCTTCTCGCCCTCATGCGGCGCCATGCTGCGGCGGTTCTATGAGATCTCTCCCGAAATCAAGGCGCGCGAAGGCTGGACGGATACGCAATTTGGCGTTCTGACGCCCAGCTATGGCGAGTATGAGCGACTACTCATGGACCAGGTGCGCAGCGCGGATATCATCTTTTGCTGCACGCCAAGCACGGTGCCGCTTTTTGATGGAAATATCCTCACGGAGAGAGACGCGAGGAGGAAGGGCAGGTTGATTGTCGCGATTGGAAGTTATACGCCCCAGATGAGGGAGATTCCCGTGGAGCTGATTCATCAGGCGGTTAAGGTTCATGAGCATGCGGCGACGGGGAAGAGGATCATTCATCACTATAAGCATGCTGTGGAGGGAGGCGCGGTAGTGGTTGATACATTGGATGGGGCGCTGAAGGAGGCGGGGGAGCTGATTGAGGCTGGATTGGGGCCGAGGAGCTTGGTTGAGTATGTTTTTCCTTTTTTTCCCCTTTTTCTTGGTGACGATGCCTAACTGACAAAAACAGACTCGGAGAACTGGTAATGCTCCATCGCATCAAACTCTCCGAAAGCGACGACAACTCTGCCCGGAACTCAACAGACATCGACACTGACACCCTCTCCGCCTCCGCCTCCACTTTAACCATCAACTCCATTCCCACCGAAGAGAAAGACAGCAGCAAAGACAGCAAAGACAGTGATTCGAAGGAAAAGCGCCCCCGCCACAGCCGCCACCTCTCCATCCAGAACCTCGTCCGCGGCACCTCCCGCTCCCGCAGCCGCGACAGTCGCACCAATCCTGATTCTACCGAAACCGAAGCCGACCGTGAAGAGAGGAAGAGAAAGGACAAGAAGAAGAAGAAGGAAAAGGAAGACGAGCTGGCCCGCTGGCTGCAAAAGGGCAACGTCATCTACAAGAGCGTCGGCCTCGGCTTGATGGATCTGACGGTCGGCATGCAGCTGGTGGATTTCGCGGAGCAGAAGGGCGTGGGTAATCATATTCCGGCCTTTTTAGGAGAGGAACGGGGTTGGTAGTATTCCGCTTATGGGAGTGAAGGGGAAGGAGATGGTGGAGGTAGGGCTGGGGTTGGAGCCTTTGGATGTTGCTGACGGTGGTGGTGTTGCTGGTGTTGTTGGTGGTGGCCATGTTGTTGATCTTGTTGGTGGAAGTGAAACTTCTGCTGAACATCATGGACTGAGAAGTGAGAGTCGTGGTGGCAGTCCCAGGCTGGAATCAAGTGAAGATACTACTACTACGCAGGAGAAGGGAATTCAGGTCCAGGATTTTGGTGCTAGTGCTCAGAACCGTGGCCACGGCCAGGGACAGGGCCAGGGACAGGGCCAGGGACAGGGAGGTATTCATGTGGCTTAGAAAGCCCAGGAAATGGAATCTCGGGGCCAAGCCAAGAGAAATGGGAAAGAGAAGGACGGGCGTAGTACTACTGGTCATGGTCATGGTCATGGCCTTGAGGTGGCCAAGAACAAGAAGGAGTTCCATTGGTTTGATCCACAGGATCTGGAAGGGGAGGAGAGTGAGGAGGATGGGTATGAGGAACAGGAACATGGGTTTCATATGCCTCATATGCCTCACCTGCCTCATCTGCCTCATGTTCAGGACTTGCCAATCATACGGAAGTTTAGCAGGCGCACCAGGAACAGTCTTTGAGTTGTTGGTGGCTATACGCGCCATCGTCGTTGAGAATCGGGAAGATTTGGCACGTTGTACGGTTATGGTTAGACGATCATATGAATCAGGAGGGCACAGAATATAAGCTCTTCTCGAGAATGGAGTCACGGAGAACTTATGACAGGATACGTTCAGACATCACAGAGATGCACATAACTTGGTTACATTTCATTCTCAGCTTTGATATTGTTTCCTCATGTTCTTATTGATGAGACAACACTTCTGGTTCCAAATCATTGAGGCTCCCGTCTAACCGTACTCGTGTCTTCTTTCTTTTTCTGTCCCCTTCTATACCAACTTCCCTCCCTTGTTCTTCGCTCCTTATTCCGCCGGCATCTGGTGTCTGCTTCCTTCCTTCCTTTCTTCCTTCCTTCCTTCCTTCCTTCCTTCCTCTCACCGTATATATGCTATATGCAGTTTGCCCAACTCAACGGCTTTCGCCCACACTAAGCAACCCCCCTCACAAAAGCCCAAAACCAACAGCACCCATCAACCCTCCCACAAACGCATGAACAAAAAAGTGCACCACGGGTCCACCAAGCGTCTTTTGTGTCTTATCATCCACCTTCTCCTTACCTTCTTCTTCTTCCAAAGGAAGGTTCATCCTCCTCCAAGCCCTCCACAAAGGAAACGCATGATAAACACCCAAACAACCCGTCACCCCCCAAATAACCTCCTCTTTACCTGGCCCCGTGAAGAGGAATAGGAGATAGAAGACAACAAGGTTGACTGAGAGTAGCAACCCGCCAAAGTTGCTCAGGATGAGCCGGGCCTCGGTGGCCTCGGTGGCTTCTTTGGGGGTTGGGGTTATTTTTGCTGTGGGAGTTGTTGTTGTTGTACTCTTCGAACCGGAGGGGGTTGTGGTAGTGGTGGTGGTGTTGGTGGTGGTGGCAGAAGATGAACCAGATGAGGAGAGGAGAGGAAGTTGCGACTCTGGATGCAACAGAAAGGAAAGCGAGGCGAAGGTTTCGATTAGCAGGTGGAGGAGGAGGGGGATGTGAGATGGCGGCGGAAGGGGAAGGCCGAGGATGGGCATCATCATGTTGGTCGGTAGATAAGGTAGGTATTGGCGATGGGCTGGGGGGAACAGTGAGACTTGAACTGGGAAGTTATTAGTTGTGTTGTTATTACAAACCAAGAATTTCGGAGGGGTATCTTACTTTAATCAGGCATGAAAAAGTAGCGGTTTTAGAGTATGGTGTGGGGAGTGTAGAAGTGGAAGGGCACCTAGAAACAGGTCCCACTGTCGTAAAGTCCGGCTGAACTGCTTCAAATGGTGATGATTTATGCGCTGGCGTCAAGGTTGAACCGTCGATTGTACGTGCTCACCAGGCGCGCTTGGATACTTGAGTTGATGTTCTAAACAAAAAGGTTTCTTTGCTCTTCAATAATTCATCCCGAAATGTCTTAGATGGGATGAGTTTGTTTGACTCGGGTTTCCGAGGTTTCGCTTTCTTCGAACTCGTTGCTTATGTACTCTCTGCTGAAAGAAGCAAAAAAAACAAGATAAGCAAGATCAACTTTATAAACTGGGAAACAAGGCCAAACAGCATCCTGACCCACTCATCCGATTCTTTGGTTATCCTATTTGTCAGGATGTCGACGCCGCCAGGCACAAAATACAGATCACGTTATGTCTTATGTAAGGTCAACAGTAAGGTAATATCAAGCTGGAAAATATAGTTGTCAAGGTTAGTTATACAAATGGTACCAGATCATGATAACAGGAGAAGCTGATAATAAAAATAATAAGTTCCTTTTACACGCCTCGTAAATGCGGGTATTGCAACAGAGGAGCATTTGCTCACTCCAACTATGTCTAATCTATGCATCTTTCTTTCTCATCAATATCCTGGATATACCCCTCTGACAATCACAGCCTTTCCTCAACATCCATCCCACCTCACGACCGGAAAAGCTTCAAACCAGCCTCCTCAACACTGACACCACCCATCTCCTCATCCTCATCCTTCTCGGCCGCCTCCTCATCTTCCTTAAGCACCATCTTCTGTCCAAACAGCGTGCCAAAGAAGCGGTCAATAGCATGCTCCTCCCACGACCTTCTATCCTCTGGCGCCATGAAGTTCTGCAACTTCTCGTGCACCGTGAACCGCAGCTTGCGTCCCTTGCTCGCCTTCCGATCCACCTGCTTCCTCGTCTTGGCCTCCTTGAGCGCCGCCCACCTGACGGTCGCCACGGACTCTCCCGGAGCGGCGGAATCCGAGCTGCGCTGGTCGACTAGCTCCTTGAGCAGCAGCTGGTAGAAGTCGGCGTCGTCGTAGATCTCGGCGTCCTCCTCGACCTTCTTGGCCGCCTGCGCGGGGGCGCACGAGCGCGGCGTGCGCGCCTTCTTGATGAGGCGGTCGGCGCTGAGGAGCTGGTCGTCGAGCACGGAGACGAGCGATTGAGAACCGGCAGACTGGGCGAGGCGGCGCTCCTTGGTCATGCTGGCGGTGGTGCTGCGCACGCGCGTGGACCACTTGTCGAGGACCTGGCGGCGGTACTTGTTGGCTGGGCCCTCGACGGCCTCGAGGGCGTCCCAGATCTCGGACTCGGGTGTGTCGAGGTCGATGGCGTCGCGCTTGCGCTTCTCGCCGGCCTTGGCCTTGACCTGTTCGGGCAGGAAGCTGTTGCGGACCGAGTCAATGGTGTTCCATAGCTTGACGGCGGCCTCCTCGGCGGCCTTGTAGGGCTTCTCCTTGAACTTTTCGGGCTTCTCGACGCAGTTGAAGGTGTTGGCGGCGATGAGCGCCTTCTGGAGACGGATGCGGAGGTTGAGAATGGAATCGAAGATGCGACGCTGGGAGCGGACGGCGACACCCTTTTGGGCGTCGGCCTCGGCGGCTTTCGAGAAGGTGGAAACGATCTTCTTCTCGTCTTCGGCCATGATCTTGCGGAGCTCAGCGTTTACGTCTTTCTTGTCTTCGTCGTCGCCAGACTCCTCATCTTCCTCCTCGTCCTCGTCCCCGGAACCTTCTTCGTTATCCTCGTCTTCTTCTTCGGAATCGCCCTCTTCGTCTTCGCTGCCAGAGAGCATAGCACCCTCAAGTTCTTCCTCATCATCCTCGCCCTCATCGTCATCAGTCTCCTCGGCCTCCATGTCGAAAAGGCCGTTTTGCTCGCCTTCCTCAGAATCTTCCTCGTCCTCGTCATCCTCCTCGAGGTCCTCATCATCTTCCTCCTCTTCATCCTCCTCGGAGCCAGACATAAAGTCAGCAGCAGTAGGCCTCTTCTTGATGCGAACCGCAAGATCGTCCTTCTTGGAGACCTTGGCAGGTGTCTTGGGCTTGGAGCTTCCACGGAAGGTGAACTTTTCCGACCAGTTTTCGTCGTCCTCCCCTAGCGCATTGTCGCTGGAGATCTCGGCGTCGTCGTCGATGTGATCGCGTTCGAGGTCGGCGGTTTCTGGGTCGGCAAACTCTTCGGAGCCCTCGGACTCGGACTCGCCATCTTCGAGGTCGTCCTCTTCGTCGTCATCATCTTCGTCGTCCTCTTCCTCGTCATCGAAGTCCTCTTCGTCGTCGCTCTCCTCTAGGGCCTTGCGGCTGACGCGGGTACCGCTGTATTCGGGGCCGAGTGTGGGGCCTTCTGCTTTCCGGAGTTTGCTCTTGCTGTGTGGTGAGGTTGGTTAGTTAATGTTGTGTTTCGAGGTGGCGCATATGGTGGGTACTGTTGACATACCCAACTGTAACGTAGTGCTCTGTCTCGGCGCGCTCTACGTCGCTGTCGATTTCGCTTCCGCTCTCATCGTCGTCACCATCACGAGGCTCGGCTTCGGGATCGTAGTCTGCAATGCACTGTCAGTAACCGGGGTTTCGGTATTGTAGCTTCGTTTGCCGTACCCTTAGCAGGCTTCTCATCGAACATGGAAGCCTTCAGCTTGTTGCTCTTTTTTGTGGTGACCAATCCCATGGTGGCGGCTGTGTGTGGTGGTGATTGTGTGGTGTTGGCGCCAAAGAATGAGAAGAGAAATTCGAGATGGCGCTTGGGGAATGGACTGGAATCGATGGTTCTGAAAATACGATCCGAATTGATGGAACGGCGAACCCCACGCCCGAAAAAATCAGAGCTTTGCCTGGGAGAACGGGAAATTTTGGCGGTGACGGCTGGCAGATGGCAAAGTGGGTCCCAGTGGACAGGGGTCCCGAATGCACCAAGAGATGGGGCCCACTCGCTGCGACCACTGTTCCTCGGGAGCGCCAATTGGGGAAGTTGGGGAACTGAACTCTCTTCACTCTTGACTTAGTTTAGTTTATGACGATTTCATCTGTTGAAGATCATTAAGTCCTCCTTTTCTCATACTTCTCGAAACTATTTGGGCACAGGAGAAAAGATGAGACCAACTATAGCCCGGCTTTTACAAGCCACAAGATCTCTCCAGCATGAGAATCCACTGGTACCTTTCCCGCGACTTACACAACTGACTCGGAGCTTCTTCACTAACACATCACCAACTCATAGGGACTTCCCAAGACCGGAAGCATTCCACGCTTTCAACGAGGACTTCCTCAAAAGCGCAAAATCCCAAATGTGAACAAAGTCATTGCCGTCTCTTCAGCCAAGGGTGGTGTCGGGAAAAGCACAATAGCTGGTAAGTGTGTCCTCATCCATCTTCTCAGCTCATCCCTGTCCGTGGACTGGTGTCTGGATCAGGGGGAAGTAAACACAACGTCGAGATATCATAAACCCTCTCACAGTCTCTCAGCCTCTGAACGCCTAGTTCATCAACCCTTCGAATCATTGCCTTATTGTCCATCTTATATATGTCAAATCCAGTCATTTTATTAACATTTCCCTGTCCCCAGCAAATCTAGCCCTCTCCCTCTCCCGCCTCGGCTACACAACCGGCATCCTCGACATGGACATCTTCGGCCCCTCCATCCCGACCCTCTTCAACCTCTCCTCACCCGACTTATCTCCCCAACTAACCCCCCAAAACCAACTCATCCCTCTGACCTCCTACGGCGTCAAAACCATGTCCATCGGCTACCTTTTAGGCAGTGAATCATCGGCGCTAGTCTGGCGCGGCCCCATGCTTCTCAAGGCCATCCAACAATTGTTGCATGAAGTCGACTGGTCCCGTCCCTTTCTCGACATTCTGGTGCTGGACCTCCCGCCCGGCACAGGCGATACTCAGTTGTCGATAGCGCAGCAAGTGGTGGTAGACGGGGCGGTTATTGTTACCACGCCGCATACGCTGGCTGTTAAAGACGCGGTGAAGGGGGTTAATATGTTTCGGAAGGTGGAGATTCCGATACTGGGGGTGGTGCAGAACATGAGCGTTTTTTGCTGTCCTGGATGTGGGAACGAGACGCACGTTTTTGGAGGCACGGAAAAGGTGAAAAGTGTGTGTGGGGAGATGGGGATGGAGTTTTTGGGAGATGTACCACTTCATCCGGCTATTGGGGAGGATGGAGGGAGGGGAAAACCGACGGTTGTTGGGGACCCGGGGGGAAAGGAGGCGGAGGTGTTTATGGGGTTGGGGAGGAAGGTGGCGGGGTTGGTTGGGTTGCCTAGGATGGGGAAGGAATAGGATGGTGGGAGGGAATGAGAAAGGAAGAATGAGGGGTGTAAGAGTGAGTGTGGGTTGAGGAGGAGGGATGATGGATCACAGGACGAGTCTTCGAAGTCGAGGAAGAACGGTACTCGAGTTTGTATATGGTTTGTAAATATAGCCAAAAAGTTTCAAGATCTTCGTTGTATTGAGAGACTTTTAGGATTGGGGCATAATCTATTAATCCCTCCTGTATCTGTCAAGATTGCCTCGTTTGTTCTTCGTTCCCTCCTCATCGTCTCAAGTTGACTTAGTAGGGGTATCAGTATAAGGATCAAAGCCCATACGCATCTTCGCCTCATGCCGCACATCCCACTTCGCTTCCCCCCTTAGTCCCGTTGTTGACGTCTCCTCCAAGAAAAAGGTAAGAATATGGTCTGGAATCGACAAGTGAGACGTCTGCTGGAACTCTTGCAGACTGCAGAGTCGTATCAACATTTCCATGAGCGACAGCGAAGAGGTAATAGCACCGAACGGTGACCTAGCCACGAACGAGTCCATGCTGTTGGGTTCTTTCTGCGCCCCTTGTACTTGTGTCGGTGTTTGGAACAACTGCTTGCCGTTTGCTCCCGGGCCTGGTAATGATGATGTCGATGAGAGAGGGGAGGGCACGTATTTTCTTTGGTTTGGAGGCGTGTTGGGGTATGGCTGTAAAGAAACGTTGCGGATTTGATCGATGAGTTTCGAGTCGACCACCTTGTCGCGTGGTGTAGCTGACTTGGAGGACCGGATGCTGGACTTATCATCACCATCGTCGTCATCGTCGGACTCGTCTTCGTTCTCGACAAAGACCTCCAGGGCGAGCCATTCCGGGTCTAGATGTGATGGTAGACCCAGTGCTTTTCTCAATCGACCTTCTTCTGCCGCGGCCGCAAGTTCAGTAGACTTGGTTTCCGCCAGCAGTTGCGCGTCGAGAATAGCTTGTTCGTCGTCTTCAGCGGTTTCGTATGCTGTTTCTCCTTCTGATCCCTCTGCCTGTTCGTCCGGGTCGGCGTACCATTGGCGTTTGAGCTCGATCGGATCTGGAGCGTGGAGGTCTCTCTTCAGGAGTAGCACCGGGTTGTTGTCTCCTTCCTCGGCGTTACCAATATTCAGGAGTCGTCCTGTGTCGGTGTAGAATATCTTGGATACCTGGTGCATAGGGATTGAGTCTCGGATTCCAGCCAAGTCAACGCCATCGAATGGTCCATGTGCCTCATCATCCTCATGAACACGCCCGTCGTCAAGATCTTCAATGATCTCCAAGTGATAGGCATACTCGTCTGGGCGACCAAGCTGCGAAAGGGCCGAATCAACAGTAGCATTATACCCGTTCACGTGCCCATCAGAAGACTCACCGGGGCAGTATCCGCGAGTCTTGTCAAACTTCCAGCCTAGCGGTGTACGAACCAGCCGTACACGAGCCTTGTGTACCACTTCCTGCCAGATAGGTTTCCGTTCGCCTTCGCCAACGCCATATGGTTGCTCCCTAGTCCATGTCTTGCTTCCGGTGCTAGGAGTGGCAGGAGCGGAACTGGCACCGCTAAGTCTGGAATGACCGCGGAAGAGCATGTAAAGAGATAGTGTAAAGGATGGTCCGATGGGGACTGCTCGGTTGGGGTTGTTCACAAAGTGTGAGTCTCCGAATGACAAGAAGGCACTCGCCTGCATCAGCCTCGACGGAGAGATGCCAGCGTTCACTGTAGTGTTCATCCTCTCTCCAGAGGCAGTGATGGCGAGCTGGATCAGAGGGATCTCTCTGTCTATGCGAGCCAGTAGTTCCTTCATCTCCTTCATAATTGTTAGCAGCTCAAAGTGGTGAGCTTCCGACATCCGGGCTTTCTTGCCCTCGGAGCGGGAGCTCTCTTCGGCAGTAGCAGCATCGTTTAGCCGCTTTCCGAGAGAAATGATGTCTCGATGGAGAGACTTGGCAAGAGGCACAGCTGCCTCGAGGAAGACATTGCCACGGCCAGATCTGAACATATGTTAGTTACATCGATACGAGTCAAGGATAAGGTAAGTAAGGAGAAGTATGAGGCGTACTTGAACTCGATCAGGTCAATAGCTGGTGAAACGATCTGACATGATTGTTAGCGAGCAGTGTCTTTGTTGGACTAGCCCTTAGCATTGTTGGATCCGGGATAATGACCACTCACCTTGATCTTGCTATCCAAGAGCTTCTGTAGCTTCTTGAGCTCCGTGTATACTCCTTTGTCGTCGACCGTCTTGAGCAGCCTCGAGCACTGGTTGACGGCGTAGGTGGAAGTGAGTGCGATGCCCGATCTGATGGCGTAGTTGACCGCATGAGACCCGAGCTTGGCCAACAGTGCGTCCATGGTTTGCTTCCTGTCCGGTCAAATAAAAATGTGTGATTATTTAATTGGTGTGTCTATCATATTCCTGTGTCCTCTTTGGGGGAGTTTTATGTACGAATGAAGATGCCCTCCAGCCTGTGAAGCGATAAGGTAAGGTAATTGTTAGTGTTCGTCCCGTCCTCCGTTTGATGCCCGTTCCCAGTTCCTCGATGCCCGTGGTTGCCTGCGCAAGTGGAAGAGTGACGTTGGTTGGCGGGTCCAGGCTTTCGTCTCTTTTGAGTTCACGGCCCTGGGACAGTGCATGCGCCAAGAGACACTAGGGGACCAGTTCGTTGCAGAAGTTCGCACTGTAATTCTGCTGATCCAATTCATTGAATGCCGCGTTTAGGCACACTCTTCGGCGAGTGACTTCCCCCGGGTTGCACCGTGTGTAACTCTGTTACCGCCGGCACGCACAGTGAATAATGGGACAAAAAATTGTCATGTTCCCCGCCACCACGGTCTCCCCAATCAACGGTGGGGCAGCCCTTTCCATGCCAGCGATTCTTTGACCCAAATCTCTCTTTCGACTCTTTCCCTCGCTTATAGTTGGACGCGACAGGTCACTCCGAGTACAGGTCATCAGGGTAAGTGCGGTCTATGGTTGATATAGGGCTGTGGTCGCATCAGCTAACATTTCCCGCTCCAGTATAATTTCATGTCTATTTGAACTGCCCGATTCCCTCCTCGCCCAAGTCGCAATTCTAAACATCTCGCGACCCATTCGACAAACTCGGAATCCATCTTGCTGACCATCCCTCTTCTTCTCACCACTCTCCAGTCCACGAGCGAGACCTCGAGACCAGACATATCCCGCCGGTATCCATTCGCGACTCACACACGCGACCACTACCCAACATGTCCGGCAACGTCCAAAACAACTGGGAGGATGCCGCCGACCAGGACGAGCGCCTGGCGCGCCAGACCCAGCAGCAGATGAACATCAACGCTGGCACTTTCCGTCCCGGCGCCGCTGCCTTCACCCCCAACGCCCCCGCCTTCACTCCCGGCCAGTTCAACGCTCCCGGCTTCACCCCCCAGTACCAGCAGCAGCAGCAGCAGCAGCAGCAGCAGCAGCAGCAATACTACGGCGGCGGCCAGCAGGGCTACGGCGGCGGCTACCCCCAGTACGGACAGCAGGGCTACGGACAGTACAACAACCAGCAGCAGCAGGGCTACGGCGCTGTCTACGGTCAGCAGGGATATAACCAGGGCTACGGTAGGCCGCTTGTGCATCCGTTTAAATGGAGGAACTCTAGCTGATAGATATGGGCATCAGGCCAGCAACAACAATACGGTGGTTACCAGCAAAACCAGGGATACCAGCAGAGGCAACAGCAGAACCGCGATGCTCCCAAGCCCGCTCCTCAGATCGTTAAGAGGCCAGAGCAGCCCGCTGCCCAGGCGCAACCAAAGGCTGCTGCCGCTCCCGCCAAGGTTCTTTCCATCGGAGGCGATGCCCCTGCCAAGGTCCTGAGCATCGGTGGTGATGCCCCCAAGCCCGCCGCCAAGGTTCTCTCCATCGGCGGCACTGCTCCCAAGAAGGAGGAGCCCAAGAAGGAGGAGCCCAAGAAGGACGCTGCTAAGAAGGAGGGTACCGCTGAGGCCGCCGCCAAGGTTGCTGCCATCAAGGCCGTTGAGAAGTCCGACTCTGCTGCTGCTAGCGGCAAGACTTCGCCCGCTCCCTCTTCCGGCCGCGCCAGCCCTTCGACCGCTAACTCCGGCTCCAAGGTTGTTCGTGACGTCGATGCTGTTGAGAAGGAAATCCAGACCGCCGATGTTGACGACGAGACGCTCAAGGAAATCTACGGCAAGGAGCATATGAACATCATCTTCATCGGTCACGTCGATGCCGGCAAGTCCACGCTCGGTGGTGCCATTCTCTACGTCACCGGCATGGTTGACCAGCGTACTCTCGACAAGTACAAGAGGGAAGCCAAGGATATGGGTCGTGAGACCTGGTACCTCTCGTGGGCTCTTGATTTGACCAACGAGGAGCGTGCCAAGGGTAAGACTGTCGAGGTTGGTCGCGGTTTCTTCGAGACCGACAAGCGCAAGTACTCCATTCTTGATGCTCCCGGCCATAAGACCTATGTCCCCAACATGATTGGTGGTGCTTCCCAGGCCGATGTTGGTATCCTCGTCATTTCTGCCCGCAAGGGTGAGTACGAGACCGGTTTCGAGAAGGGCGGTCAGACCCGTGAGCACGCCATGTTGGCCAAGACCCAGGGTGTCAACAAGCTCGTCGTCGTCATCAACAAGATGGACGACCCTACCGTCGAATGGTCTGAGGAGCGCTATAAGGAATGCACCACCAAGCTGGCTCAGTTCTTGAAGGGTACTGGTTACAACCTTAAAACGGATGTCTTCTTCATGCCCATTGCTGCCCAGATGACCTACGGTATCAAGGACCGTGTCCCCAAGGACCTCTGCCCCTGGTACGATGGCCCCTCGCTGCTCGAGTACCTTGATAACATGAGCGCTCTCGAGCGCAAGGTCAACGCCCCCTTCATGATGGCCGTTGCTGGCAAGTACCGTGATATGGGTACCATGATTGAGGGTAAGATCGAGGCTGGTGTGGTCAAGAAGGGCATGAGCTTGATCATGATGCCCAACAAGCAGTCGGTCGATATCTCGGCCCTCTATGGCGAGACCGAAGATGAAATTCCCGTTGCCCAGTGCGGTGAGCAAGTCCGTATGCGTCTCCGTGGCATCGAAGAGGAAGAGATCACGCCCGGTTTCGTCCTTTGCTCGCCCAAGCGTCTTGTGCACAACGTCACCGCTTTCGAGGCTCAGATCCGCATCCTTGACCTCAAGACCATTTTGACTGCCGGCTTTAACTGCGTGCTCCACGTCCACGCCGCTATCGAGGAGGTTACTTTCGCCGCTCTCCTCCACAAGCTCCAGAAGGGTACCGGCAGGAAGTCCAAGGTTCCTCCTTCGCACGCCAAGAAGGGTGATAGCATCATTGCTCGTCTCGAGGTCACCGGCGGTGCCGGCTCCGTGTGTGTTGAGAGGTTCGAGGATTATCCCCAGATGGGTCGCTTTACCCTCCGTGATCAGGTATGTTTTTGTCCACCTACTGTTCGCTTAGATACGTATACTAACAACTACCGCAGGGTCAAACCATTGCCATTGGCAAGATTACCAAGCTCATCACCGATGCCACTGCTTAGATGGCGAACGGAAAGCTTTATTAGGGTCATGTTACGTTCTTCCAGGCGAAGCACTAGGGAGATAGAGCAAAATACCAGTTGGAATGAAAAAGTTGTTTTTACGTTTGGAAAGCCCGGGTTATCTTCGGTATTCAGATTCTTGTTGCTTGCTTTTTAAGTGATATGTGATGTCCCTACCTCTACAATCTAACGCTGGGTTTTTTGTTTGTTGGCTTAGTACGCCTAGCATACTGGACGAGACCAATCCCAAACTATCACAAACCCTAAAGGGACGGAAATTGATGACTATATACGATGAAGGCATTAACCAAATTCAATATAGCATATCAAGTTTTTGAAAAGGCATATGCAAGGCAAGACACCGTCTCAGTTATTCGACGATAGGGATCAAATAGATATGTAAATGCCTAGGGAGTTAACCAGATATCTCGAGCTAACAAACAAACCAGTAGTATATTGGACTGTACTTCGTTATAAGGGAGCACCGTAAAACCTAGGTCCATGACGGCCATCATTTCACTACGCCTCACTCGGCAATGTTTTAAGGAAAACGGTACCTGACATTAGTCAACCATCCCGAATGAAAACACAGAAGCTCGAGAAACTCCCCGAGGAATATGCGGGGGAGAGCGGGGGCCGATGACGAGCTATTCCCGTCGGAAGGAGATGCCGAACGGAGGAGGGGCCGAATGATCGGGTCCACTCCGGAGGCTACCGAGCGTATGAGGGGAAGAAGAGATGTGAGTCTACGATAAGGACAATAGACTTTTATATAAGAATCACCGGTGTCTAAGAAATAGTCTCTCTGTTATCCTAGACTTCTGGAAAGTTTGCACGAACGTTGACTGTTTGAAAAGGTCACGACAGAGGTGAGTTCTCATATTCCCGCTCTCATGACATCATGACAAACCCGGAGCTTCCATCAAATTTGAAGTGCGATTTCGGGATATCAGCATCTCAACTGTTTCTTCACTCCCCAAATCCTTCTCTTTGCAAAAGTGCTGGTACAAAGTCGTGGAAGTGTAGTTACTAACTAGGCAAACAGATACTCGACTTCGCCAGTTCCCCGAAAAACCAAACTCACATCCCAAACCTAAACCACCCAGATTATCTCTCAACGCCTGAGCAAAGTCACCATGTCCGCCCCCGTAACAGCCAATCAAGCCACCGCGCCTCCCATCGACGTGAGCAACCTCTTCTCCGTCAAGGGTCTCGTCGCTCTCGTCACGGGCGGTGGTTCCGGTAATGCCTCCTTTCTCCTCCCACCTATCCTCTCACCAGTCTCACCAGTCACTAACAAACCTCCTCACCATAATGTAGGAATCGGCCTAATGCTTACCCAATCCCTCGCCTCCGCCGGCGCCAAAAGGATTTACATCGCTGGCCGCCGCCTCTCCGTCCTCCAAGAAGCCGCCGACCGCATCAACAGCTCCCTCCCCACCACCTCTACCTCTCAGTCCCAACCCGTCGTCGTCCCTCTAGAATGCGACGTAACCTCCCCCACCTCCCTCGCCTCTTTGGTCTCACAAATCTCCGCAGACCCCTACACCGGCTACCTAAACCTGCTAGCCTGCAACGCCGGCGTCGGCGGTCCGCAAGTATCAGCCGTCAACAAGGAAACCGGCGAACCGAAAACCCTCCAACAATTCCGCGAGGAGAACTTGGCGGTGGATTTCGACAAGGAGTGGGAGACGACGTTCAAGGTGAACGTGGGCAGTGTGTGGTATACGGCTATGGCTTGTTTGGAGCTTTTGGAAAAGGGAAACAAACTCGCTTCTGGGGAGGAAGCGGGCAAGCCAGGGGGGCATGAAGGGAAGAAGGAAGGGGGTGGTGTTTGGAGGGAAAGCTCAAGTCAGATTGTGGTTACCAGTTCCATTGCGGCTTTTAATAAGGCTGCTCCTGGGGGGTGGGCTTATGGAGCGTCCAAGGCGGCGGCTACGCATGTCGGGAAGCAGTTGGCTGTGTTGTTGCCCAGGTGGGGGATTCGGTGAGTCCTTTCTCTTTTTTTTTCTTTGTCTTTTTTAGGTTGGTTGGGTTGGTTTGGTTGGTGAAGGTAGAGGGGTAGAAGTGAAGAGAGGGGTGAAGAGAGGG